GGTCTCTAGAGAATCAGAAGTGGGCTAATTTTCGATGTCAATTTTAACAACAAACATCCAAACAACCAAACAAACAAACGCGAAGCTGAGTTAAGAAAAACGTTTTAATAATAATAAAAAATTCAGTAAAATTTTTGCAAAAATGTTTTCAAATAGCTGTGAAAATCAATTTTTTTTTTATAAAAAATACGTCACAAAATAAATAAAGTTTATGAGTGCGTTAGGAGCGCATTTTCCGAAGCACAAAGGATTTAGTTTTAAATAGGGCACTGCAAAAGTTATTTTTAACTCTGCCATGCAATAGTTAAAGGGGTTTTAAACCTGCTTTAAAGGCGCTATTTAGTACAAAGAGTTTTTGAGAAAACACAAAGAAAGAGAAATAGAAACAGTTTCGACAGTTAGATATATTAGAATAATACATTCACACATCTAGAATATTAATAAAACTACTGCCAATATTTATCTTTATTACAAAATAGACAAAGTTAAAAGATGTAACATCAGTCTTTTAAACGACACGATTCCCTCTACATTTAAAAAAAACAATCCTTGTTTTGTTGTATTAAATTTGTTCGTGGTTTGTGTGTGTTGAAGGGGAGGGGGTGTGAGAAGATGCTTAGTAAACTACACAAACAGTGTTGATTTAAGATGAACACATTCACACACACACAAACACCCACACACACTCAAATACACCCCCGCAAACAAAAGCTTGCATCGATCTGATCAGAGCTCTCAAACATTTTAAAACTTCTCTCCATTAGACTCAACAGAATAAAAATATTGAACGTCCCTGGTTAGTAGATTAAAACAAATCTGTTTTTCCTCAGTCAGTAGCCAGCAACGGTCTACACATCCTCTTGTTTTACATCCATCAATCGTGTCGTTAGTCATAAACATATATCATCCCAGTAAACATCAAACGTGTCGTTAGTCATAAACATATTTCATCCCAGTGAACATCAAGGTTACCATTTGGGTGTAGGCGGATGACGTCAAACATTTATAGATCTCAAGCCTTTGTTAAACAGATGCCCAAGTCATTAAAAGAAACCAATATTTAGAGACGTCTTGATTTTATTGGATTTGATTTGAACAAAGACTTTTGTCTAAAACCGACTTGATACGATGCTGCAATACTAATTAATTTGTCTAAGATTGTATTCAAAGTATGTCACTCCATACATCAAACCAGCTCAAATGGGTACCTGACTTAAGTAGGGGAAAGTAAAGGTGGCTGGGTGTAGTGCTGATCACACAATCTCTTCATTTGCCGAGGGTACAGAAACTCAATAACTCTACTTTATCTGCCTGAATGAATCGCTAGGTCTCAAGTGAAATCTTTACTTTTTTATGTAGATGAAGTAGAGTTCATCTGTTTCAATGACCTTGGATAGAGTGGTCAACACTAGTTTGACAGAACTAGTAACTTGAACCCGGATTTGAAGTCGAGCCTTTCGGGTTCGCAGTCTAGTGCTATACTCTAGGCCACGACGTCCGTCCCCCCGTCCGCCTGAGTGTCAGCTGTATAAATGGAGCTATTTTTTGGGTACTTTGTTCCCCCACCCCCATCACACAATACGTTTCCCACTTTTGGCCACTTTTTATTTTTTGACAACGTTTGATTACCAGTTGGTGTTTTTGTTTAATATCCAAATATTTCTCACCCACTGACCGTATTAAGAGCTCCACCCCCCATGGAGATGACCACCTAGAGATAATCTAAGAACGATAGCCAACGAGAGATGACAAACCAGAAATAATCTAGAAATGACCAACTAGAGATAACCAACTAGAGATGGCCAACTAGAGATGGCCAACTAGAGATAACAAACTAGACTTGACCAAGTAGAAATGGCCAACTAGAGATGACCAACTAGAGATAACAAACTAGACTTGACCAACTAGAGATGGCCAAGTAGAAATGACCAACTAGAGATGACCAAGTGGAGATGACCAACTAGAAATAGCCAAGTAGAGATGGCCAAGTAGCGATGGCCAAGAAGCGATGGCCATGTAGCGATGGCCAACTCGAGATGACCAACTAGAGATGACCAAAAGCCATTTTCCGCAAATTTATTATGATAAATTCTAAACTTTATAATTAGCAGTGTTTTATTTAGTGGTAAACATGCTTCACCCTAGTAATTTAATATCTGATTGTCTAGTTTCAACTGTAGATTTACAACAAAACAACAACATCATCAATAACAAAAACATCATAAGCAAATACAACAACATTGTCAGCATCAACAACAACAACAATATCATCATCATTATCATAATTATCATTATCATCAACAAAAACAAAAACAACATCATCAACAACAAACAACATCATCAACAATAACAGCAACAGCAACACCATCATAATCGTCATCACCACCACCACCAATATGTATGCTGTTATAAAAAGCTATTGATTTATAAAACAAAGAAAATTTACTTCTATTCGGCCTTAAAGCTAAACAATTTCTTAACAATCCTTTGTTTTCTCTATAATCCTTTAGTTTCCAAACAATCTTTTATTTTCCTAACGATCTGTTACTTTCTTTAAAAAGCCTTTTGCTTTACCTATCGATGCATATAATACAAAAAATTCGTCACCCCCCCCCCCCCCACCCCGCCCCCCCCCCCCCCCCCCACCCCTAAAGAAAACTGAACCAAACTAAATTAACACAACTTTAAAGACCGGAAATTGATTATCTGTTTTAGCTACCAGCTGGTTGTACACGCGTCAACATCGAGGTCACTATACGTGTACACTATGGTACACAATGACGTCAAGTCAAACAACCTCTAAAACATCATCGAACATCCTCTAAAACATCATCAAACATCCTCTAAAACATCATCAAACATCCTCTAAAACATCATCAAACATCAGCTTTTATTTGTTGACGTCACCACATGCACGGTTTTGATGATTATATTCATGTTTTAGACATTAGAAATACATGTTTGAATTTAAGTTGATACCGTGAGACCTTTTTTTAGATTAGTGAATTTTAGCAACAAATATTAAATGTATACTAATATATGATAATTCAAAGAGAAAAACATAAGTAATATAATAAACGAGCCGGCCCGCGGCGTATTAGACGCCGCTATTTAGTTTTATTTTCTACTTTCAGTAATTCATAATTTGTGAATTCGACAGTACCAATGCTGTCACTGAAAATATTTCCTTTAAAACACTAAAACCCTCCTTTCCCCTACCCCCCCCCCCCCTTGAAAGCAGCCTCCTTTTAGTTACCTCCCCTAAGTTTAAAATAATTTCAAACTAAATTATCTGCCCCTAATAGGCGTCTAAACCCGGCTCTACGATTGTAAACATTTAGCGTGAACCACAGATCACCAGACCATGTGGGGGTGGGTTGGTTGCGATATGCCTAGAGAGGAAGGGAGGTAACTGCTAGGCGTGCTTACAGCTTGGTGTTTTCTAACGTCTCCAAGAAGAGAATTATATATATAGACAATAAGACCATTTTTATTTTAGACTGGTTTATTTGTGACTGAAATTCAATGATCTAAAAAAGGGGTCTACCGGTATAGGTATCACCTTAATATTAAAAGTACAGTACAGTTTTTGTCAATGGTCAAGATATTGATCTAGACCAGGGGTCTCCAAACTACGGCCCGCGGGCCGGATGCGGCCCGCGAGGTCCTCTCATCCGGCCCGCGGGGATCTTTTTGTTCACGAAAAAAACGTTTGTTGGTGATGGCTGAGGAACTTTGCCCAGAAAAATCAAAGACATGCCTGGAAGAAACTGGCCCCCGAACTGAAAATTGATAGTTAATGCGGCCCTCGGACTGAAAAGTTTGGAGACCCCTGATCTAGACAATCCAAGAGTAATCGAATACACCACACCATTTTTAAAAATAAATTCAGTTAACTACAGCGTAACACGGAGACCATGTTACACGTAGAAGTATTGGTGACTCAATCTTTGTGACTCCAAAACTGAACCCTTGTGACGCCCATACTCAGCCTTGATGACTCCCAAACTCCATCTTTGTGACGCCCTCACTCCACATGTTATTTACATCGATATGCCTAAGACAGATGTACCAGCTGTGAAGCCTTTGTTATAAATTATTACATGTTTGTTTATCTAATTTACCATCAACTTTTTTTTCTTTCTTCAGCTGATATCGAGGTAACTTTCAGTGCCCAATAAGGTTTGAAGGACATTACGATGTTTACTTCAAGGGGTAATTTTCAAAGCTGTTTAAAGTCATAAAAATGGTCGTTTTCATCCTGGTCATAACGTAGGATGTTAATTTTCTTTCGTTACTTGTATTTTGTAAAAGTTAAATAAGATAAAACAAAAAGAATGCTTTGTTTACTTTTTCAAAATTTAAAACAATTTAGTATTAGTACATCACTTTGTAGCAAGTATACCGCCCCATCCCATAAAGAAAAAGAAAAGAAAATTTACATATAGAAAATATATAATTTAACAACTTTCCGTACTCTCCCTCCCCCCCAAATTAAAATGCACCCACCGAAGGTTTCAAGTGCCCGCGCCCTAGAGACAGACATCTGAAAGATACACTGGTACTAGGCCGGCTCTACAAATGGCAATGATGAGGGAAATTAGCACTAAGTATGAACACCTACAGCTTGACTGAAAAAAACAACCCATAAACAACATGATGAGTCTGTTTACACGATACCATTGTAGACAGACCGTATCGTTAAATACACGCAAACATCATTTGATGAATCACCGATGTGTATAGTCGTTGGTACATATGTGTAAGCAATGGTCGTTGTTACATATGTGTAAGCAACTCCACTGTCGTCTTTTTGTGTCGCGCAAAAGGCTACAATCTTAAGGGTTAAAAAAAACAACTTATCATGTGGTATAAGCCTTATATACTTCAAATAATATATTGGAGGTTTAAACCCGATTTTCTTTTTGTCTAAATTTGCAATGGTCGCAAGCACGAATTAGTTATAGACCGTATCTCTATGTTAGCTACAACGTCAATCCATGTCTTTATGTGCTACATTGCAGGCCCACACTACTGGGCCCCCACACCTGGGCCCCCACACCTGGGCCCCCACACCTGGGCCCCCACTATTGATATGCTCTCAAAGTATGCCCACACCACCTTGCCCCACTATTAATGTTCTGGATTGCAGGCCCCCACTACTGGGCCCCACCATTGATGTACCCCCACTACTGGGCCCCACCATTGATGTACCCCCACTACTGGGCCCCACCATTGATGTACCCCCACTACTGGGCCCCACCATTGATGTACCCCCACTACTGGGCCCCATCATTGATGTGCCCCCACTACTGGGCCCCATCATTGATGTACCCCCACTACTGGGCCCCATCATTGATGTACCCCCACTACTGGGCCCCATCATTGATGTACCCCCACTACTGGGCCCCATCATTGATGTACCCCCACTACTGAGCCCCATCATTGATGTACCCCCACTACTGGGCCCCATCATTGATGTACCCCCACTACTGGGCCCCACCATTGATGTACCCCCACTACTGGGCCCCACCATTGATGTACCCCCACTACTGGGCCCCAATGATTGTTGTACCCCCACTACTGGGCCCCACCATTGATGTACCCCCACTACTGGGCCCCACCATTGATGTACCCCCACTACTGGGCCCCATCATTGATGTACCCCCACTACTGGGCCCCATCATTGATGTACCCCCACTACTGGGCCCCACCATTGATGTACCCCCACTACTGGGCCCCACCATTGATGTACCCCCACTACTGGGCCCCATCATTGATGTACCCCCACTACTGGGCCCCACCATTGATGTACCCCCACTACTGGGCCCCACCATTCATGTACCCCCACTACTGGGCCCCATCATTGATGTACCCCCACTACTGGGCCCCATCATTGATGTACCCCCACTACTGGGCCCCACCATTGATGTACCCCCACTACTGGGCCCCACCATTGATGTACCCCCACTACTGGGCCCCATCATTGATGTACCCCCACTACTGGGCCCCACCATTGATGTACCCCCACTACTGGGCCCCACCATTGATGTACCCCCACTACTGGGCCCCATCATTGATGTACCCCCACTACTGGGCCCCACCATTGATGTACCCCCACTACTGGGCCCCACCATTAATGTACCCCCCACTACTGGGCCCCATCATTGATGTACCCCCACTACTGGGCCCCACCATTGATGTACCCCCACTACTGGGCCCCACCATTGATGTACCCCCACTACTGGGCCCCATCATTGATGTACCCCCACTACTGGGCCCCACCATTGATGTACCCCCACTACTGGGCCCCACCATTGATGTACCCCCACTACTGGGCCCCACCATTGATGTACCCCCACTACTGGGCCCCACCATTGATGTACCCCCACTACTGGGCCCCACCATTGATGTACCCCCACTACTGGGCCCCATCATTGATGTACCCCCACTACTGGGCCCCACCATTGATGTACCCCCACTACTGGGCCCCACCATTGATGTACCCCCACTACTGGGCCCCACCATTGATGTACCCCCACTACTGGGCCCCACCATTGATGTACCCCCACTACTGGGCCCCATCATTGATGTGCAACATTGTAAGTACCCACTATTCGCGTCTCTCTCTCTCTCTCTCTCTTTTTGTGTGTGAATGTGTGTGCTAATGCTTGTGTGGGTGAATCAGACAACCAAGCCACCACGTCAGTCACGTGTTTGAAACCCAACAACTCTTTGTCCAGAGCTGAACGCCCGAAAGTTGGTCCAGCAACACCTGTTGTCAAATGCCACGTTTAACGGCTGGGATTTGAACCACTTGATGAGGTCACGTGGGGGAAGATTTTCCTTTATAACGTGGATCTGCCACTGGTTTAGCCGTAGTTCAAGAAGCTCTTGTTTCATCGAGTCAAGGTAAATCTGATTGTTTTACTGCAAAGATTACTGATACATACATCATATATATATATATATACTATTTTAAGCTTTAATTTTCAACATTTCATACTTTTATAATCTTTGATTAGAAAAATTATGTAGGTCCGAAAACATATTGATTTCTAATCGATCATATTTAGGTTTGTTGTTTGCAGAGCAGTAATCAGGACGATTTATTTTTAATTGATAAAAACTAGTTTATAGAAGGATTGAATAAAAGAAATGGTGAACAGAAAAGTTGATATCGGGCTCTAGACCAAAAACGTCTATAAGGTTGGACAGAGTAAATGTAGGTGTGGGTGTGTGCGTATGCGTATGTCGTATTGAGGTCCGTCGCTATCGACTTTATGTGGTTTTTTTAAAAGGACAGTGTAAAGCTCGTATATTGAAGAAAAACCCTGTTAAAATAGTTTTGTTAATTTCTTTTTTGCTAGCTAGCAAAACATAATTTTAATGATTAATGGAAGATATTTTGTTCTAATATCTTTTGTCCTGATATTTTTTGTCCGGAGATCTTTTGTCCTAATATCTTTTGTCCGGATATATTTTGTCCTAATATCTTTTGACTTCATATCTTTTGTCCTAATTTTTTTTGTCCTAATATATTTTGTCCTAATATATTTTGTCCTAATATATTTTGTCCTAATATCTTTTGTCCTATTATCTTTTATCCAGAGATATTTTGTCCTAATATCTTTTGTCCGGAGATCTTTTGTCGTAATGTCTTTTGTCCGGATATATTTTGTCCTATTATCTTTTGTCCGGATATATTTTGTCCTAATATCTTTTGTCCGGAGATTTTTTTGTCCTAATATCTTATGTCCTCAGATATTTTGCCCGTGAGAATATTTGTCCTTGACTTATTTGCTCTGAAATATTTAATAAGATTTAGGTTTTTTATTTGAGATATTTTATCTGAAATCATTAGTCCTAGGTTCATTTTTCATGGTGCCTAGTTATTTTAGTGACCAGGATGCAAACATGATTTACATTTAGTTGTTTTGATTTTGTAAGCTGTGGATTTTAAAGAGACTTTTAATAAATTTTATAAATTGAATTAGCTGACTAATTTACGAACTGTTCCTCTCTACAATACAGATGTTGAAGTTCGTGATTTTCGCTGCGGTTATCTGTGTGGTGGTGGCCGATGTGGACAGCGACTGGTTGGCGTTCAAGTCCAGGTTCAATAAGGATTATCAAGGTGCTGAAGACGTGAGGAGAAGGAACCACTGGCAGCAGAGCGTGCAGACGATAGCGGCCCACAACAAACTGTATGAAATGGGTCGTAAGAGCTTCTTTCTCAAAGAGAACGAGTACGCGGATCTGGTGAGTAGTGTGACCTAGTTCAGAGTTGGTCAGTGGTTGGGTGAGTAGGGTGACCTAGTTCAGAGTTGGTTAGTGGTTGTGTGAGGGTTTGACCTAGTTCAGAGTTGGTTAGTGGTTGGGTGAGGATTTGACCTAGTTCAGAGTTGGTCAGTGGTTGGGTGAGGGTTTGACCTAGTTTAGAGTTGTGGAGCTAATGTGTAACGTTTATGACGCAATATCCTCGAACAGCAATGTGATTATTGGAAATATTGAAAAACAGACATTTTTTGATTAAATGCTTTTTTAGAGAAAGCGTTTGGTCTGTATACAGTTACAAATAATTAGCGTTATACAAATACTTGTTTTGAGAAATGATTTAAGTTCAAATATGTCTAAGTAGTGGTTCAAGTTTCGACAACATAATATTCCTGAAATAATTAAATAAGTAATTCTGTGTAGACATTTGTCTTAAAACATATTTGAGAGAATTTCATTATTACAATTTGAAACTTACAAAAATGTGTGTAAAATGAATCATTTGAAATAAAAACTGTAAGTATTTATTTGAAATTTAATAACTATAAGCTATTTTTCGATTCTTTTTCATTTAAATATAGTCAGACGAAGAATACAACACCCTCCTAAAAGGCCTGATTCCAAATATGACTTTGACCTCACCACAACTTTCCATCGCCCCCACCTCGCTAGGGGCTACAACTCTACCTTCCACCGTGGACTGGCGCAACAGCGGCTACGTCACACCGGTCAAAAACCAGGGTGCATGTGGGTCATGCTGGGCTTTCTCGGCCACCGGGGCCATCGAGGGCCAACTGGCCAAGACCACAGGACAGCTGGTCAGTCTGTCCGAGTCGAATTTAGTCGACTGTTCCAGGCCTTGGGGTGAGTTCAAGTTACGCTAAAAGTTCTGTTTCTTAAGTCAAATTGCATCTCACTGCTATGCTAATTAATGCTAATTGTTAGCGACGGCAGTGAATGTAATTAGTGAGCGGTATATTAAAACGGATATTCTTCATCTCCAGGTAACTCGGGCTGCAATGGTGGCTGGATGAACTATGCGTTCCAGTACGTCAAAGACAACGGTGGTATCGATACCGAGGCCAGCTACCCTTATGTTGCTAGTGTGAGTCTTAGTCACTGCATGCCGTTTCTACGTCTACCGCCATCTCCCCTCAACGGAATAGAATGTTTGGAGAATATATATATATATATATATATATATATATATATATATATATATATATATATATATATATATATATATATATATAATACTCTAACCAGTGTTCGCCCCCCCCCCCCATCCTGAAAATTTGAAGTGCTGGTGAAAAAAGTCTGAAAGAAACACTGTTTTTTTTTCATATTATCGAGATTTTTAAAAATGTTTTACTTCGATTTCAAAACAGGCACTGTTAAATATATAAGAAACTGGTTTGATCTCGACTAATGTTGTCGTGTATTAGTAGATTGTACACTGACTTGCGTCAATTGTGCATCGTATATTAGTAGATTGTACACTGACTTGCGTCAATTGTGCATCGTATATTAGTAGATTGTACACAGACTTGCGTCAATTGTGCATCGTATATTAGTAGATTGTACACAGAAATGCGTCAATTAAAACACCTCATTACAGGACCGGGCATGTGCCTTCAATCAAACGACCGTTGGAGCCACTGTGAGCAGTTACGTGAACGTTGCCAGAGGAAGTGAGAGCGCTTTGTTGCAAGCGGTGGCCACGGTAAGTGACGTCTGAGTTTCCTAGCCAGGGTTGGTGTGGACATGTCGGTTGTTGCAGTTGCTAAACCGTCAAGTCTCGAGTTCGAATCCCCGGTCTAACGAGGATGGGGACAGCCACTCTAAGAGAGACAACTCCAAAACTAAATAACTGCTGCCTTGTAGTTTGTTCTAGGTTGGGTAAATGCTATGGAAACAACCCCAAAAAGAAAAGCTAGCTGAATTAGGAATCAGCGGCATATATGTGTTAGAGGGTATACCATCCAACATTAAAAATTAAGAACGAAGAAGAAGAAGTTTCCTTGCCTGATTTGTAGCAATTAAATAAACATTACCTCTTTCTTTCTCGCTCTATATTGCCTTATGATTAATGTTTTGATGCATTTTGCTTGTAGCTCTTTTATTAGTCTAACAATGACCAAATACCTACTCCTAATCAAACACTTAGCCCTAATCTGCCCAATAATATTCTTTCACAATCCCTTACCCTACCTCTAAAGGTAAAAATTATTTAAAATAAGAACTATTTTTCATATATTCTTAAATATACAGTGCGTGTTTGAAGCTATATCTCTGGTAATATTATTTTATATTTAAACCTAGTCCAAAGCCAAATCATAATTTTAATTATAAACTTGAACTTAAAGTTAAAATTCAATATGTTGAAAAGCGCAATATTGATACAGACAAAAAGCCTCAAATAAATAATATAATTAAACGAAACAATAAGTTCTAACCCAACAGTCAAACAAGTCACTAAACATTTTTCTCATTACCTAGATCGGACCTATAAGTGTTGCCATCGACGCCAGCAAGAATTCCTTCAGGTACTACGGCGGTGGCATCTACAATGACCGTGCTTGCAGTGCCAGCAACCTCAATCACGCAGTGCTGGCAGTGGGATACGGCACCAGTGCCACTAACGTGCCTTTCTGGACCGTTAAGAACAGGTAAGCCGGTGGTAATCTTCATCCTAACCATGACTTACCGTTGACATTTATCAATACATGAATAGAAAAAGTAATGAACTTTTCAAGGGTCAGTGATACCTGCAGAAGTCATAGATCCGGCTATGGCATGTATTAGATCGTCTGGCTTGTCATGGCCCAGATAGTCTCATATTTCCCCACCTGGGGAAGATGTACACCGCCTACAGTAGAGCATATGACACCAGACCTACAGTTGTCATGAACAGAGCTCAAAGCTTTCAGTGCAGCAATGGTGTGCTCTACCTTTCTGCCACACTGTCTCGTAAACAGCAGTGGTGTTAACTCTACACATGAATATGTTTTATTGCATTATATAGACATGTGTATTAATGTGTATTACAAGTGTATTAATCGTTAAATTGAATATATATATATATATATATATATATATATATATATATATATATATATATATATATATATATATATATATGTATGCATAAAAACTGTGTCATCCCATGATTGTTACAGTTGGGGTACGTCCTGGGGCATGTCAGGATACATCTTTATGTCCAGAAATAAGAAGAACCAATGTGGTATAGCAACAGCCGCCAGTTACCCTCTAATTTAGTTAGCAGATGTGTAGTTTAAGTTGATACAGACATTTTGTCTATAGCCGGCGGTGCTCTAAATTTAAAAATACATTCTTATATTAAAAAAAGACATTTTAGAATTATTAATGAAAGTTTATGAAAAATGTTTTAAACTGAATTATTTTTTAGAAACCAAATAAAGTATTAGACTGTGTATTTGACTTTTGTTTGTCTGTACAAAATGTATTATATGTTTGAAAAAAAAACAACCCAAGGTTTAGACTGTCGCAATACATGCACTACAACGTAAACAGTAGATGTATACGACACACATGATCAACATTACAGCCTGTTTTAAGACTGTCTGGGCTTACTCGCTGTGTAAATTTAAATCAACCAAGGGAGAATACTTTTAAGAATGTTCACACAAAAAAATACTACCATGCATAGGTAATTCTATAAAAGTAAAGTAATAAAGTATATTACTGTTTGAAGCATACTTATTTTATTTATTGTAAAAGTGATTCGCACTTTATGTTGTATTGATGTACACATTATTATTATTCTCTAGTTAAATTAGAATACTGCTAGCTGTCTAGCCTTCTTTTTTTATTGATGGAAAGCCACGTTTTTTAATTTTATGTCTTGTCGTCGTTATCATATGGTGTTTTCTGTTTAGCGCTTTAAGATCTTCAAAAATAAATGTCATTTCAAAAGCAATCTTATGACGTATTTGGAGGACTTACCTAGAGATTTGATCTTTAGGTTCTCGGATAATATACAATACGTAATTTAAATAAAACTTTCTCGTATGTGCATTAAGGGCGATGGTACTTTCAATGTAATCTGGCTAGGGGTCATCCATAAAAGACGTCACGCTTTTTTTGACGATTTTTACCTCCCCCCCTCCCCTCCGTCACACTTCGTCACAAAAAGCCAGCCCCCCCCCCCCTAAAATGACGTCACACCTCAACCTACAACCCCCCTCAAAATTGCAGTTGAATTTTTTTAAAACATTGATATTTTTCCAAAATCTTGTCTAAACTATTACAATTTATTAAAACGGTTATCTAAAACGCGAAAAAACGTCTAAAATTCGTTTTCTAACATTGCTTTTTTATAATGCAAAAATGTGACGTCGCAAAATCTGACCCCCCCCCCTCCCCCTCATCACACATCGTCACAAAATTACGGACCCCCCCTCCCCCTACGAGTGTGACGTCATTTATGGATGACCCCCTACAGCAATGTTTTTTATTAATTATTTTTATATACAGCTAGTCGTCCTGACTAGAAAAACCGTTACTTGTTAGTTTATTAAGCATCTATATTAGTCTATATGCAAAAATAGAAAATATATATAACCCTAAACATATCTCAAAACATAATCAACCACAAGGACAAACATAAACGAAAATAGACATAAAACTTCTCCCCTCGAGCTTTTAGGTCTAAAAAACAACACATAACCATAACCATAACCATGACCATGACCATGACCATGACCGTGACCGTGACCGTGACCGTGACCGTGACCGTGACCGTGACCGTGACCGTGACCGTGACCGTGACCGTGACCGTGACCGTGACCGTGACCGTGACCGTGACCGTGACCGTGACCGTGACCGTGACCGTGACGGTGACCGTGACCGTGACGGTGACCGTGACCGTGACTGTGACCGTGACCGTGACCGTGACCGTGACCGTGACCGTGACCGTGACCGTGACCGTGACCGTGACCGTGACCGTGACCGTGACCGTGAGCGTGAGCGTGAGCGTGAGCGTGAGCGTGAGCGTGAGCGTGAGCGTGAGCGTGAGCATGAGCATGAGCATGAGCATAAACATAAACATAAACATAAACATAAACATAAACATAAACATAAACATAAACATAAACATAAACATAAACATAAACATAAACATAAACATAAACATAAACATAAACATAAACATAAACATAAACATAAACATAAACATAAACACAAACATAAACATAAACACAAACACAAACACAAACACAAACACAAACACAAACACAAACATAAACATAAACATAAACATAAACATAAACATAAACATAAACATAAACATAAACATAAACATAAACATAATCATAAACATAAACATAAACATAAACATAAACATAAACATAAACATAAACATAAACATAAACATAAACATAAACATAAACATAAACATAAACATAAACATAAACATAAACATAAACATAAACATAAACATAAACATAAACATAAACATAAACATAAACATAAACATAAACATAAACATAAACATAAACATAAACATAAACATAAACATAAACATAAACATAAACATAAACATAACCATAACCATAACCATAACCATAACCATAACCATAAACATAAACATAAACATAAACATAAACATAAACATAAACATAAACATAAACATAAACATAAACATAAACATAAACATAAACATAAACATAAACATAAACATAAACATAAACATAAACATAAACATAAACATAAACATAAACATAAACATAAACATAAACATAAACATAAACATAAACATAAACATAAACATAAACATAAACATAAACATAAACATAAACATAAACATAAACATAAACATAAACATAAACATAAACATAAACATAAACATAAACATAAACATAAACATAAACATAAACATAAACATAAACATAAACATAAACATAAACATAAACATAAACATAAACATAAACATAAACATAAACATAAACATAAACATAAACATAAACATAAACATAAACATAAACATAAACATAAACATAAACATAAACATAAACATAAACATAAACATAAACATAAACATAAACATAAACATAAACATAAACATAAACATAAACATAAACATAAACATAAACATAAACATAAACATAAACATAAACATAAACATAAACATAAACATAAACATAAACATAAACATAAACATAAACATAAACATAAACATAAACATAAACATAAACATAAACATAAACATAAACATAAACATAAACATAAACATAAACATAAACATAAACATAAACATAAACATAAACATAAACATAAACATTAACATAAACATAAACATAAACATAAACATAAACATAAACATAAACATAAACATAAACATAAACATAAACATAAACATAAACATAAACATAAACATAAACATAAACATAAACATAAACATAAACATAAACATAAACATAAACATAAACATAAACATAAACATAAACATAAACATAAACATAAACATAAACATAAACATTAACATAAACATAAACATAAACATAAACATAAACATAAACATACATAAAGATCATGATTTCGGATGAGGTCCAACTGCAGCAGTTTGGATGGGGATGTGTACAGTGGGTAATTAACTCGGTGGGGTGTGAAATGACCGGAAGTATTTAACAGCTTGTCATTGTCAACCTTCTGACATGTTCTTAATCCCTTTCCCCTTGTTGTACATTGTCAGATAATTGACATTATCACTTCCCTGAATATTTGCGGTCTCATTGCATTGTCAACCGGTCTTTACCATCGTGCCAAGTTTTAAGCGAATCGATCCGTTAGAAGTGGTCGAAATTTCGCTTGGCAGTTTCAACACAAGATGAATAATGAAGTTTAATAAAAAGCTTGGAAAAAAATTCTATTGCATGAGGCTGCGGAAATGCCGTCTATTTAGTATTATACAAGTATATACGAGAAAGTTTAGGTGTGATCACTCACGTTTTATTTTTATTTTATAGCTGAAAATGTAAACACACATGGCATAAACAGATAACGTGGTTTAATAGTATAATAATTGAAAATTTAAATCGAAAAGTGTTGGTGCAAATTGCTACAGTGGTTTTTTTTTAGAAGATTGATCACACAGCCAATCAAACGTTGTATTACGAAAGTGAAACTTATATATTGAAGGTCTGATGAAAATAAATAGAATTGTAGCCATAAAAACTATTTATTCTAATTCTCTAGTTTTGCAACTTTCTTTAATATCACTGGTCCTAAAAATATTACATATCTGACATTTTTTAAGGCTTTAGGGTTTTTTTTTTCAATTTTTAAACCAACAATGATAGAACCCATATCTTCTATTCGGCTGCCTCCATTTTGAGATAATACTTTTTTGGCATAGTAAATCAATTTGTTAACTATTATCTTAGAGTGACCGATTGTGTCCCTTCCAATCCACAATTGTCATGACATTATATTTTGCTTTCACTTCTTGTAATTTACGGTCAAGGGGAAATAACAATGAAAAAAAACACATAACTGAAGGCACATGGGTTCCTCCCCTTACTTTATTTTTGCTTTGTTCTAATTTTTTTTTTGTTAAAAATTAAACGCATTGGTTTATACTTGTCTTTTGTTAACTTATTTTGATTTGCAATAGAAAACTTTTTGAAAAGAACAAAAAAAATTCCTTATTAGGACTGTTTATGGATACTGTTGTTTGAAAATAAAAAGATGACTCATTTTAAGTGCCTTATTCTGCTATACATGTCATACATGCTACTAATTATATTTTCTTCTAAATCCTGAAATTACTTCAGATCCAGCTATGAATAATACCTTACATAATTTCTACCCTCTATATTTCAGGGTCCGACAATCGAAAACCTTCAACCCCCTTTACCCTCTACCCGATTTACAACTGACAATTAATTAGTTAACCAACCAATAATTACCAATTTCTGGTTTGATCAATAAGTAATTTTGACGTTCTATAGACCTATGTATAGATTGTTGCTAATGGAAAAGGTACATCAGAACTAAATATTATTGCAAAACCATCTGAGTCGACACTCGCAGATAATGAGGGTAGTAATACAAATGCGAAAAGTTGGAAAAAGTAACTGGCGCTAACGGAGGCAAACACAAAATATGGCGTAAAATATTAATAGTATTTTATTATTATATTTTTATTACCTTCTTCTTCTTCGTTCTCAATTTTTAGTGTTGGAAGGGATCGAGCCTGGTTCGAACTCGAGACTTTTTTCGAATTTAACAACCATGAGTTTTGCTGACTCGACCACGCCTCTTACATAATTAAGTATACAT